GTTTCAGAATCAGGATCATCCCCCTTTCTGTCTCCTCAACATTTTGATAATACCCAAAATGCCCATTTCTTGCATTCTCATTTATTAATGTGAATGAGATTAGACTCTGTTTATTTAAAAATCCCAGCAGTTATTGCTTTTGTTTATTTGTTTTCAATTTTTATATATAAAGGATAAGAGGACAGTACCAATGATGTTCTTGTGATTTCACTTTTAAAAAATTTTTAATTGTCACCCAAGGATATGTTTATTGATTTTAGAGAGAGAGAGAGAGAAAGGGAGTAAGAAACAGGGATCGGTTGCCTCCCGTACACACCGTGACACAGCCTAGGTATGGGCCCTGACTGGGGATTGAAACGCAAACCTTTTGGTGTACGGCACAACACTCCCACCTACTGAGCCACCCGGCCAGGGTGTGATTTCAATTTTTTAAAAAACACATATGTGTGTATCAATTTTCTAGGGCTGTCATAGCAACAGAAATTTATTCTCTTACAGTTGTGGAGGCCAGACGTCTAAACTTAAGCTTCCAAGGGAATCTGTTCCATGTCTCTCCCCTAAGTTCTGGTGGCTGTAGAAAACCCTTGGTGTTCCTTGGCTTGTAGGCGCACCATTACAGCCTCTGACTTCATCCTCACATGACCTTCTTCCCTGTGCGCCTCTGCGTGTCTTCTCCTTTTCTGTCACTCCAAAGGACACATCTCATTAGCCCTGAGTGGCATAGCTCAGTGGATTGAGTGCCAGCCTGAGAACTAAAGGGTCGTCGCTGGTTTGATTCCCAGTCAGGGCACATGCCTGGGTTACAGGCCAGGTCCCCGGTAGGGGGATGCTCAAGAGGCAGCCACACATGGATGTTTCTCTCCCTCCCTTCCCCTCTCTCGAAAAATAAATAAATAAAATTTTAAAAAATTGTGTTAAGAACACCTGTCATTAGATTTAAGGTTCACCCTAATCCATGATGATCTCCTCCTGAGATCCTTTTCTTAATTACAAATGCAAAGACCCTTTTTCCAAGTAAAGCCACATTCACAGATACCAGAAGTTAGGGCATGGCCTTAACTTTTGGGGAACACAATTCAACGCACTATATAACATATTTAAATCTTTTAGAAAGCAAAGATGTCAATTTAAATATTATTACCAGAGCAATAAATTAAGTAAGACAACCAATCAGAATTATAGGCTTTTTAGATAAGTTTACTTTCATAGGCTATGGCAACAATCTAAAGTCAGGGTGTCCCTTAATTAGAATTAACAGTTACAAGGAAAGTTTTCTAATCCAAACTATTATCTGTTTTTCTTACTTCCTGGAAGACTAAATATTTCTCCTTATCTTGTTGAGATTTCTTTCACCATAATTATGAGGATCTGTGGTTTTTCAAGGCCAAGTCATAGAAAGCCATTAGTTAGCAGTGATAATAAAAAAAGAGTTCTGAGAGCTCAAAACCTACCGTATGGAGAAGGGAAAGGGAGCCAAATAGGCTACTTCATAAATGCAATATGGAACACGCAATGCTGTACATCTATGCTTCCTAACCATAGATTCTAAGTGTCTATGAAGATTTGCATTTTGAATAATTGCACAATTTTTCTAGAGGTATCAAAAACTTGACATCAGCCAGGTACAGTATAGATGTGTGGACAATGCCTAAAGACAGCTGTGGGGTGCTATGGGCCAGGTAAATCTGAGTATCTCTCCCCTTGTCTCTGCTGTGGACCACTGGGACCACCATCTGCTCCCTGCACCCTGACAGCTCTGAGCAGGGTCTCTCAGGTTCAGGGACAGGAGTGAGACTATTACCCTGTCTGTCTGGCATGACCACAGCAATGGGCATAGTAGCAGAGAGAGATTTCCAGTAAAATGTCCAAGTCTCCCCCTCATTAAAGTTCATGTAAGTGCTACAGAAACACTGCCCTATGGGTCAGAGTTGGCATCTGGATTATTAGAGGATCCCTGGGGTAAAGTATACACTCCGAGGGGTTAGAAGTGTTGATAGGGCCATCTGCGAGCTGAGAGAAAAAGGAGAGAGACCCAAAAGTGCTTCATGGTCCAAAGAGTAAGAGGAAGTAGAGCCAAAAAACAGGAGCCAGAAAGAAGTGAGGTTAGAATGCAAATAAGTCAGAACAGGCAAAAGACATGTTGAGCAATTTTGTAATATCCAAAACAACGCTAAAGTTGCCTGAGCTTATCTTGCTCGTTTACTGATGGGATGCATAAGTATTGATTGGGATGGTTTGAAGGTTACAATTCCCTTCAACTTCATGTTTCCCTACTTAGAATCTATATTTGTACATATCCTTTTAATTTTCCTTTCAATTAAGGAGAATGAGATCTCTCTTATTCATTCAAGTCCAGCATATTCGCCTTTGTTCTTAACCTTACGCCCACCATTCTGATCCATATTCAGCAGAGATTTATTAAGTAGCTATTATATCCCTTCTCCTCTTGGTTCTTTCTCCTTCAAAAATCCCCCTATTTTCTTGTATTTCTTTGTCAATTGGGTCATTCCTCTATAAAGCCTATAAACATGCCCAAGACGTGTTCATAAAAACAAAAGCAAAACAGAGACAAGAACCCTCCATTATTTCTGTATCCTCTTTTAATCATTACTAATATCATAGGATTGGTCAAAGATTGGAATTCATTGCTTGTGTTTGGCTTTAAATGAGCAATGCAAATAAATTAGAGATGCCAGAAAGATAATGGTTCAGATTGCTAATCATAACAGCCCCATCTGGCCAGGGAAAGAAAATTAGACCACAAGAAAAGAGTCTTATAGGTAGGAAGAATATGGATATATTCAAAAATCTAAGAGCTGGATGAGGTCAAAGACATAGTAGTGAGAGAAAGGATCACAAGAACTAGATAGATTGAACAAAGGTTTGTGGTCAAAGAATTGGGTATTAAAACTTAACATTTTTTATGAAGAACAATTCTTGGTGAGTGATCAAGGGTTTTGCCATGGATAGCCAAAATAAATTGAGTGTTTCTAGAGCTACTGAGGCCAAGGAAGGACAGAACATTAGACGAATTGTCCACATGGGCATGTATATCACCCAAGATGAAAGCCATGTATGGATTAATCAAAAAGACTGTAAGCTAACTCCTCAAGTCTTCCATGAATAAAGGAGAATACCCAATGTAGCATGTCAGTAATTGAAAGCCATGAGGAGGGAGAGCAGATTCTTCATCTGGGTGATACAAACTTCAAATAAAGTGAACGTTTCACACAAGCAAGTAAGAGTCATTGTTTGTCAGTGTCATTGTGGAATTAGTATGACCAGTCTAGTTCTCAGTCCTAGTGGGGTGGGGCATAGAAAAGGAATTTCCTGCCACGGAAAGGTCAGCGAGTAGTTGTGGTACCCTTGAGGGAGAGCTATGAGAGGAGGAGATGATGGAGTAGGGACCTGCATTATCTGAGTAAAACAATGATGGCCCTAGCAATGAAAATACACAAAAGAAAATATGCCCTAAAGATACAAAAAAGATAGGTTGCTTTGGTAACTGATTAAGTGTAAAGACTTAGTATGAAGAATAAAGGATGACTTTCAGGATTCTGTTTTGGGCAAATGGGTGTATGAATGTGCTTTTTACTAAAACGGGAGGTGGACTGGGTTTAGAAGCAAAGATAATGCTGTATTCTTAGACACTAAACAGTTATTAAAACAAAAAAGGCTCTCCAAAAGTATTTACTAAAGTAATGAATGACAAAGAACAAAGTTTGACATACGAGCTTGACAAAGTAAATGCATAAACCATTATAAGAATCAGCACAAAAATTATTGCTGTTCTGGTTAAATTTATCCTCAACTTATTAATTCAATTAAAATAGAAAAACAGGCAATCAGAAAATAACAGCTCCATTTCACATCCATTAAGATGGCTATTTAAAAAAACCCCCAGAAAATAGCAAGGGTAGAGAAGAACAGAAAATATCAAGGATGTGGAGAAATTGGAAACCTTATGCATTGTTGGTGAAAATGTAAAATAGTGCATCCAGTGTGGGAAAACATCGTGGTCATTACTCAAAAATTTAAAAATAGAACCCTGGCCAGATAGCTCAGTTGGATAAAGCATCATCCTGATATGCCAAGGTTGTGGGTTTGATTCCCTGATTGGAGCACATGTAAGAATCAACCAATGGATGCATCAATAACTGGAACAACAAATTGATGTTTCTCTCTCTCTAAAATCAATAAATTTAAATAAATTTTAAATTTTAAAATTTTACCACATTGCTCAGCAATTCCAAAAGAATCCAAAGCAGGGACTTAAATAGATTTTTCTAGACCTGTGTTCATAGCACCATCATACACAATAGCCAGAAGGTGGAAGTACCCCAAGTGTCCACCGATGTATGAATAAACAAAATTCGATTATATATAAAATATTTTCAGCCTTAAAAAGAAATTGCCATGTGCGTGGATGAACCCTGAAAACATTATGCTCAGGGAAATGTGACAGTCACAAAGTGACAAAAACAATTTGTATGACTCCACTTACATGAGGTACCTAAAGTAGCCAAATTCATAGAGACAGAAGTAGAATGGTGGTTGCCAGGGGCTTAAAGGAGGGCAGAATAGGGAGCTAATGTTTAATGGGTACAGTTTCGCTTTTGCAAGATGAGTTCCAAGGATGTATGGTGGTGATGGTTGCAGAACATCGTGAATGCACTTAATACTGAACTGTACCTTTAAAAATGATTAAGGTGGTTTATGTTACCACAACTTTTAAAAATCTAAAGTTAAAACAAAAGAATCAATAACAATCTATATCAATAAAAACCAATAGGGAGAGGAGAAACTCCAGCTCTCCAGCAAAACCCAACTTGCCCACCAGGCTGTGGGGACAGGAAGCCAAGGGCGTGGCAAGGGCAGGCCTCCGCCTCTGTGTGGGGCGGGGCTGCTGGGAAGCCGCGGACTCCGCGGCCACTGCGCAGGCGCAGATGCCGGCTGCCAGACGCCTTTTAAGAGTACCCGGAAGTGACGTCCGCAACTAAGACAGGTTAGGGGAGGGTCTGAACTACGCGCTTGGGTGAGCAGAAGTGGGGCTGTGGTCCGGTCCTCGCTATGAGCTGCACTATCGAGAAGATCCTGACAGACGCTAAGACGCTGCTGGAGAGGCTGCGGGAGCACGATGCGGCCGCCGAGTCGCTGGTGGATCAGTCGGCGGCGCTGCACCGGCGGGTGGCAGCTATGCGGGAGGCGGGGACAGCGCTTCCGGACCAGGTCAGGCAGAGGGCAGGGGTCCGTGCCCTCACCTCCTGGGTACTTGGCGGGTGGAGGGCGAGGTTAAGGGGGACCTCGGCCTGGAAATTACTCCTGGTCTTAGAGGGCAGCGGTGGGACCTTTCTGCCTTGGAGCCCTGACTCCTGCCTCTTCAAGTTGCCTCCGCGGCTGTTCTGTGTGCAGCGCACTCAGTCTTGTCTCTGTTTATCTAGTATCAAGAGGATGCATCCGACTTAAAGGACATGTCCAAATACAAACCTCACATTCTGCTGTCCCAAGAGAACACACAGATTAGAGACTTACAGCAGGAAAACAGAGGTTAGTCAGGCCTTTTTGTGTAGTTTTTATGCTTTTCTCATACCCGTTAATATTTCAAGTTCTTGCAAAACTACCCAACTGTTCACTAAAGTGCATATATGCTATTGTGTATTTCCAGGTCAGTACTTTTAGTAATAGAGTTATCCTGTGCTAGCCCAGTAAAATAAAGTTTGTTAATTACCCTTTTCTAAGTTGTCTCGTTGATTTTGTAGTTACAGGCATCTTGTCAAACAGGTGCTTAATAGAGTTGAATTGTTGCATAGCTTATTTAGGCATTCCCCAGATGGAGACGTGCATAGCAAGAGTTAATATCCTCAAGGATTAAAATTTAAAGTTTAAATATTCAAAGTTAAGATGGAAGTGGAAGAGCTGAATTTTCTACTTAGGATATATAGCCTTAGTTTTGATAAGTACATTATTAATACTAGTAGTATGGATAGTTATTTGTATATCAGTTTACAGAGGGCTTCCACATACAGGGTCCGGCACAAAAACGCCCCTTTTTTATTAGAAAATCATAAGCATAATTCTGTAACGACAATATCACACTCAAGCACACAATATGACATTTCAGGTGAAATGTTCAAATTAAAACTATAAGTTATTACACCCATATTGTTACCCTACCAACCACACTCAAGCAGGCGTTACTTCTGCCTGACCTGGTATATCATTCCATTATATTCTTGTGTTTTCACATTAAGGTAGATGAGTCAGGTATTGGTTATTACAGTGCAGATAAAGAGCAGGCACAGAGAGGTTAAACGATTTGCTTAAGAGTATTAAGCTAGTAACTTGCAGAACTGAACTTAAACCCGTGGCTTCTGATTACAAATCTCATGTTTCTACAAAACAATGCTGCCTCTGTCTAGGAAGTTAGGTTTCACATTGACCTTAACTGTTGTATTTTGTGACCTTAAACACTGATTTACAAATTTTGAATCAGTATCTCATGGAGTAGCATAAAATTCCAGTTGTTAGAAGTTTGGCTTTGAAAGCTCTCTCTCAGACATCACTGCCAAGTTGTTTTATTTTTTCGATAGAGCTATGGGTTTCCTTGGAGGAACACCAAGATGCTTTGGAACTCATCATGAGCAAATACCGGAAACAGATGTTACAATTAATGGTTGCTAAAAAAGCAGTGGATGCTGAACCAGTCCTGAAAGCTCACCAGTCTCACTCTGCAGTAAGAAACTTTGATGAATAGGTTCTAAATGAACTGAATTGAAATCTTGACATCGTTTTAGCTTGTGTGCCTGTTTTTTGAAGTAAACTCATTTTCTTTTCATGTTTATCACATTCGCTGTTGGTTTTGCTGTAGCTTTGTAAAGATGTGAATAGAAAGAAGGGGGTAAGGGGCCGCTCAGGCCCCTTACATTGAGTAGGACTAAGATTCCTTCCTTCCTTGTCAAGATCTCTTTCCAAAATGTTATTGAATGCTTAGTTCTTCCACCAGACATAATGCCAGTTAGTGTCAAAGGTGTTCAGTGAATACTTGATTGGTCATTATTGTACTTTTCACTAAATTATATGCTCTTGGTCATAAGGAGTATAAATTCATTTTTAATCCCTTAGTACCTGGCACATAGCAGACAATGAGGAAATGTTCATTAAACTGAACCACATGATATCATACTCATTAGAAGAGAAGTATGGTTTAAAACGTACGTGTGTGTGTGTGTGTGTGTGTGTGTGTGTGTGTGTGTGTGTGGCGCAAAGGTTCTACGGGTTGATTATGATGACCCAGTAATGGTTCTTATATCTGAGGGAGACCCAGTAATGATTCTTATATCTGAAGAGTACTTTATAGTTGTCATCATACATTCACATGTCCTTTTAATCCTGGATTAATAGATTTATCCCTCACTACTTGCCACAGTGGAATTTATGAAAAGTTTCATCTTAGATTCCATTGAAAGCATTTTACTGACTTAAAACAAAGGCGTTAAGGAACGGGGATATTTAAAATACGAGAATGGCTTTCATCTGGAAGAGGAAAAAAACTTTATTTTCTTTAGTCTGGAGAAGAAAACTTGAACCTTGAAGGAGACAGATTTTAGCTCATATGAAAAACTTGTTAATTCCAAAAGTGCAGTAAGGTACCTTGGAATGTGGTGAGCTTCTTGCCAATAAAATTATTTAGGTTGAAGTTAATAAGCACTTAGAGATGTTGTCCAACATCCAGTGGGTGGTTAGACTAGATTGATAATTTGAAAACAAATTATTTGTGGATACCACAAGACAACTTTATTATGGCTTTATACCTGCAGGCTCGGATAATAGTGAAACACTTGCGTAACCTCTGTAGCATAGACTAAGTGAACTTTTTCACATCATAATGTACATATTCTCATGAACTTCATATCTGTAGAAGAGATAACTTTTTCACTTTTTTGTGTTAATCTCTTCACAGGAAATTGAGAGTCAGATTGACAGAATCTGCGAAATGGGAGAAGTGATGAGGAAAGCAGTTCAGGTGGATGATGACCAGTTTTGTAAGGTTCAGGAAAAACTAGCCCAGTTAGAGGTAAGATTGTTGCTATTGTAGGTTCACAATATTTCAGGGAGCTTCGGGGGCCTGGAAGGCGTGCCACTGCTCTCTCCGATCACTGCAGTGTATTGATATTTTCTGTGTGCTGATGGTTTGAAATTGAAACTCCACACCCTTTTCAAAAAAGGAAATGTAATCAGCAGCAAACAATGAAAATGCTTAGTATGTACTGGCTAGAAATTGAGATATCATCTTATCAAGACAACAGAGTGTGGAAGGGACAAATTACATGTCAGTTAAAATCTCTCAGCAGAGAGGGGAGTATAAGGGGGATAAATGGTAATGGAATAAATACAATAAGAAAAGGAACATTTGTATGTCCCCATTTGGTTCTTTTGGTTAGTGTTTGTTTATATTATATTCATCAAACTGTTGTATAAAATCCTGAAAATCACTTTCCTATATTGTTTTTGTGAATGGATTTTGACCAATATTGTCTTGTTGGCTTCTTTGTTAATATGGGTAATACTTTAATGCAAGTATTAATTATTGGGAAAAATAAAAATAAATAAAATATCTCATCTACCATAAAAGGAAGTCAACTAGATAATGTCTAAAGTTGATGATAAAGAGATAGCAGTACAGGCATATTATTTAAAATTATGGAACTGAATATTAAAGAAATAGATAAAAGTACTAAAAGTGGTTGCTCTCTAGAAACAAAGCCAAGGACTTCTGTTAATTTTATAAGGCTTGTAGTTTTCGTTTTATTTTTTAAAGCTTTTTTCATTAAAAATATTTTTAAGAAAATATTTTTAAGTAATATTTCATTAAGTAATATTTTCATTAAAATGGAAATAACTGACAAAGAAAGACCTGGAGAGCTGGTGCACCCATAAAATTAAGGAAAAACATTATACTAGATGGTTTGAATGCTGCTTATTACCAGATGCTATGATGGGTCCCCGCTCAGAGTCTAGTGAAAGGAATAAGATCAGTACAGCAGGTCCTCAAATAACTATATTTTGTTCAACTTCATTTCATTCCAGTGTTGGTGAGATGCCATAGGAACTTAACTATACTTGGTATTATTTAGTCTGTGGTGAAATTGGTTTCTTATACGTTATTTTTGCTTAAAGTCACAGTACCTATCGACATTAAATGAGAACTTACTTTACCTATATGATATGAAATGGTATATAAATGCTAGGAGAGAGATCCAAAGTACGGGGGGAGGCACTTTAAAAGGTAGAAAATTTACTGATCGTAGGCTCTGACTCTGGTTGAAGCCTGAACACACTATGGTTTACCAGAATTTCCTGCAGAGAGAATAAGGATGAAGAGTGCTAACTGCCCTATCTGGAAATAAAGGGAGTGACACATTCCCAAGGACGGATTAGGAGTTAATTCAAATGATAGAACAACCTCAGTTATAGAAGCAGTCCTAAGGAAATGTGAGGCAAATTTTACTTAATACTTTTAAGTGGAACAAACATGGGCATTGGATGAAGATCTTAGCAATACCACATCCAAGTTGTCTAATTTTGGACAAGTTTTTGGACTTTTGTGAGCCACAGTGTCCTCATCTGAAAGAGAATATGGTGTAGGCAATAGCACCTACCCCACAGATGGTTGTGAGATAGTATGTGCAGGACACTTACATGGTACCTATTATGTGGCCAATAAGTAGTTTCTTCTCTCCCTTTCCTTCCTTTCTCCAAAACTGGACATGTAGGAGAGGAGATTGAACGGATTGAAAATATTACCAGGAATTTGAAAGACAGAATAAACAGTAGTAAAGCTTGTAGGAACCGTGAAGAGTATGGCAAGCAGTAGATTCCTCCAGTGGAGAGGAATCTTGTTTTTTCGTTTTTTGTTTTTGTTTTTTTGTAGTCCTAACGGGTAACATATAAAAATTGCTCATTAAATGTTTGTTCAAGGAATAAATAAGCAGTAGTTAAGGAAATTCTCATTTTGTTTCCTTAAGACTTTAAAAATTAAAATAATACGCTTTCTGTTCCTGGACAAAAGCAGTATGTTGTAATGCAGTTTGACAGTCGAAATACCTGAAATAAACATATACTTTTTTTTTTCAGCTTGAAAATAAGGAACTTCGAGAATTATTGTCCATCAGCAGTGAGTCGCTTCAGGTCAGAAAGGAAAACTCAGTGGACACTGCTTCCCAAGCCATCAAATAACTTCAGCTGCTGAATGACAGCTGGAGATTGTTTATTAAGGAAGGAAGTTATCTTCCTGTTTGAGTAATGTCCTTTCAGCGTCCTGCCTCAGACTTGATTTAGTATTGATTAAAGAAATCAGGTGGCAGTTTAGAATTGGCAGTCAGAGTTGGCTGTCCACAAAAGTTTTGGGGTGTGTTAGTGAAAATACTGAATTTCACCATTCCCTTCTCTAAGAGACTACTTTTAATTTTCATTTCTGGGACCTTGATTTATATAAACTGTGTTTTCAGTTCATTTTTGTTTTTTCACATCTCGGAAACTTTAAGCATTGTATCATAAGGCAGTGATTTTATTTTATATAAGATTGTAAATCGCAATTATGAATCATTTAAAAAGAGATTAACTTCTTAAATCTATTTGGCATAAACCTGGATTATTTTCCATTTAAGAAAAACAAAATTCTGCAGAACTAGGTTGTCAAGTTCTCTGATTTGTAATGTCATTCACCTTCTATGGAGTTGTAAGTCTCTCTGGTGCTAAGAGTTCGCACTTCATGGCCTGTGTCTTTACTCATAATTTGAGAGAACTTACTGCTAGTCTCCAGGAAGCACTTGAAAATACACCAGCTGGTGCTGGCGGTGTGGCTTAGTTGGTGGGAGTGTCATCCTGTAACCAAAAGGTTGCGGATTCAGTTCCTGGCCCAGGCACGTACAGGAGGCCACCAAGCAGTGCTTCTCTCTCACAATAGATGTTTCTCTCCCTTCCTGTCTCTCTCTCTAAAAGCAATGAAAAAATGTCCTCAGGTGAGGATAAAAAAATAATGTCAGCTGGGTTTTTTTTTCTATAGAATAGTCATTGTATGTTCAAAGACTGCTGAGAAATTTGTCCTGTGTACGTGGACACACACATGCACACTTAGTTGAAATGCTAAAAGTAGCTTTTATTTTTTTTCTATTCATAATCAATTTTTCAATTTTTTCCTACTAGGAAATCTTAAACTTGGATGATTTACCTAGTGTGAAGAGCATACAGGTTTATTCACATCTAAGTTCTTAGGTACTACATTCTACTATTTATATATAACTTCTGTTTTATAATTAAGAACGCTCATTTACTTGGAAATCTTTCATTACTAGTACCAATAGTTGGCTTTCATTTTAGATCCATTTTTCACAAGGAAGCAAAGTTTTATCACTTTATGAGAGTTATCACATTCATAGTGCTGTGTAAACAACCAAGCAATGCTGAGATTCAAATGCTGAGTAGTCAGCTAGGCTCATTCATCAACTCATTCCCCCATCTCAGTTTATTCCCATTACTTCACGTTATACTATCAATTTAGGTTTGCCCCCAATAAACTGAAATAGTGAACGCTAAACTTGTCAATATTTTCCAATAACATTAAGCACCATAGTGCATGGGAGAGGCACTGTACTAAAGAGTTTTATGTTAGTGTTTTGTGTGATGTAAAATTTATTTTCTACTGCCATAAAAAATTCCCATTAAAACAAGATCTTTCCAAGATATCCTAAAAGTTTCTGACCCCATTAGTAATACTAGTTGACTTTGCTTACAGTGGTGGTCTTCAATGAATAGGTATATGTTCTTCTAGAATTTATCAAATTTCTATTCAGAGTCCAAAATAGAATTTGAAAAAGCATGTCTACCCCAAGTGTGGGCATCTTTATCTCACTTCTCAAGAGGTAAGTAAACTTTTAGCCCAGCCATTTGCCTTGAAGTATATGCCCTAAGTGCCACCATATGTTCTGCAATTCCAATTCAGAAGGTAGGTACCCTATACCATTTGTCAGATGCCATGGCCAGTTTTCAGTGAAAATGGTAATCAAATGGCCCATTGAAGTATAACATGGTGTTCCTTTATCTGTCTTAGTTTCTTTTAAGTTGTTTTTAAAGTGCTTTACATCTCAAGTATCAGGATAGATCTGGATGTTAACTTTTCCCTTGGCAACTCAAAAGCTTTAAGTATGAGTGAGTCTAGCTCTCAGCGCTATACATGATATAAATTCTGGCTGGTGTTAATGCTTTGAAGATAATGTGTCATTAAAAAGCAAAGTGAAAGAATTGTTTTTTCACTTTGATTTGTGTGAGTGTTAATGTTTCTTTTGCAGTGGATGGAGGGACTGGACTGGTTTGCAAAATCAGTACAAATTTATCTTTCTAAGAAAAACCTAATTTAGATAATGTCAGCTAATTTTAGTCAGTAGTGAGTCTAATTATTAGGAAGTGCAAAGGTTTATTTTTCACATGTATAGCAACCTGTTAGGTAGATAGGGTTTTCATAAATATTTTGTAATTAGCACAATGTAACCAGCAATATAACTCTACAAATAGTTGTTTCTGAAATTAGAGATTTCCTTGTGATTAGAAATAAAATTACATGATTTAAAATCAAATTATACAATTTGAAACTAAGTTTGGAAGTATTTTGAAAAATGCTTAATTACCAGTACTTTTATTACCTTAACTTATATCCTTACTCATAATTTGATTCAAACATTGAAGGTCTAGTTCAGTGGACCTCAAAATATGGTTCACTGACCTACTGAAATCGAAATTTGGAAATAGGATACAGGAATTTGTATTTTAATAATCATCCCAGATAACTTCTTTTTAAAAATATACATTTTTTTAAATTAGCCTTTTTTTTAGAGAGAGAGAGAGAGAGAAACATCAGTTTGTTGTTACATTTATTTGTGCATTCATTGGTTAATTCTTATATGTGCCCTGACCAGGGGTGGAACCCACAGCCTTGTTGCATTGGTACAACAATCCAACCAACTGAGCAACACAGCCAGGGCATATTATATATATTTTTTAATTTATTGATTTGAGAGAGTGATTTGTTGGTCCACTTATTTACACATTCATTGGTTGATACTTGTATGCGCCCTGACCAGGGATCAAACCCGCAACCTTGGTATATCAAGATTACACTCTAACCAACAGCTACCCCAGCCAGGGCTCTAACTTCTAAGGACACAGGGTGCTGTGCCTTTTGTCAGTCTCCAAGAATGCTAAAGAAGAAGCAGAATCTTTAGAGCTTTGATGAAATATAATTCACTCTACATTTCTTGTAGCCTCCTAGAAATACATGTGGAATTGAGAGAAATGAATTTATGCATTTTACTAATTCTAGTATTCATTTTTATTTCATATTTTAACATCTCTGAAATTAGAATATATCTTACATGTAGGGGTTGTGGTGTGGTTGATTCTAAGCATAAGGAAAGTTGGTTTGCATTCCTGGTAGCATGACTAGACAAAGGACAAGCTCTTGGTATTTCAGTCAACAAACTAAGGACCATTTGAGGAAGGAATAGTTTAGTTGTTTTCTCTGAATTTTCTGTTAACACTTTCTTGTAAGATCAAAAGAATTCCAGCATAAGAACTTGGAGGATAGCTGTGTGTTATCTACTGCTGTGTAATAAGTCACCACAAATTTAGCAGTTTAAAGCAACATCCATTTATTATTTTGCAGTTCTGTTGTTCAGATATCCATGCAGGGCTCAATTGGGTTCTTTCCTCAGGATTTCATGAAGCTGAAATTAAGGTGTCAAATGAGGCTCTGGATCCTCTCAAACTCATGGTTGGCAAAATTCTTTTCCCTGTGAGCATAGAACTTGGAGGCCTTCAAGGCCAACAGGAGAGATCATGCTTGCCTTATCTCTCACCTCCAGATTCCCTCTCAAGCTCATCTGGCTAGGTTAGGCCCAAACAGAATATTCTCCCTCTAATTAGTCCAACTGATTACAGATCTTAAATAAATTTGCAGTAATACTCTTTGCCTTAAAGGAGATAAGAGTGATATCCTCAAATACCCACAGGTCCAGCCCACGCTCAAGAAGCATGTGCACCAACCAGGTGGGGGTACTCTGTGGTAGCCATCATAGAATTTTGCCTACCAATTGCTTTTAGCAGCTTGGAGTAAAATCCTGAAGACAATGAAGCACTCTTAGGAAATGCTGCATTACTAGTAGTAATTGGTGGGGCAAGAATAATTCTGTATGAAAAATAACCACATTCATGAGCCAAAAAGATACCTACCAACATATGCTAAAATTAGTGGACTAAAGTTTAAGCATAAAGGGACACTCAGTCTCTGCATTCGTTTCCTAGAGTTGCCACAAGTCACCACAAACTGGAGGGTTTAAACCAGAAGTGTATTCCCGCAGTTCCAGAGCCTAGAAGTCTGAACTCAGTGTTGGCAAGCATGGGTCCTTCTGGAGGCTCTGAGGGAGGATGTTTTCCATTCCCTTTCTAGCTTCTGGTAATTCTTGGCATTCCTTCGTTTGTAGATGCATCTCTAGTGTCTGCCTCAGTCTGTTTCACTCACATAGGGTCTCCCTGTATGTCTCTTGTCTAAATCTCCCTCTTCTGAGGACACTGCTCGTTGGATTATGGTCTACCCTAATCCTACATGACTTCATTTTAACTTGATTACATCTACGAAGACCCTATTTCTAAATAAGATCACAATTTGGAGGTTCTGAGTAGACATCGATTTTGAGAGGACACTATTCGATCAAGTATGGTTCCAAGTACCCAAAAAAATATTTAGTAATTGTAAAGGGAAAAATAGTAATTGTAAAGGGAAAATTAGTAATTTTACTATGAAGAATCCTGGCAGACACCACTGTACCAAATTGATTAAGGTAATGTGAACCAAATAAAAAGGTGAGGTGGGGGGGTCCTGTGGAAAATAACCTCACTTGATATGATCATAAATTCCTAACTGAGCATGTCATCATTGGTAGTCACACTGCAGGCACATAATTTCTTTAGTGAAAGGCTTTTATCTTTGCCTTAAATGAGCCTTGTCCCTTATTTCTGTGTATCCAGGTTAACACACTTGAAATGCCCCCTTTCAGACCCTTCTTTCTAAAGCATAACCCACCCTCTGGAGAGCACATAATCTTATCTGTCCAGTAATCAAATCCCTGCCTTGCTTTCCACCACCTTCATGTAATCCTTACGTTCCCTATTTTCAAGTACATAAAAGAGGCTGAAAACTTATTCCCACTGTATTGAGATCTTGCTTCCAGGCACATCTTCTGTTTGACTTAAATTTTTGTAAACTCTACAGGTTTGGACCTTCTTACGTCAACAGTAAACATCATGAATAGGACATTTCAATATCATATACCCCCTGAGGATAAAATGAGAAGGGTTTATCACTCTGTTACATTCTTTCAAATATACATAACCTCAAACTAGTCAAGGGAAACATCAGACAAAACCACATTAAGGGACGTTGATAGAACAACTCACCAATATTGTTCCAAAGCATCCAGGTCATGGAAGACAAGGAAAGACTGAGGAATTTCGTAGGAGGGAGGAGGATATGGAGGGTAGGACCCTGGATTTGACTCTGGGAGATAAAAGAGTATTAGAAAACTAATGAAACCTGAATTAATGTTGTAGTTTAGTTAATATTGTGTCGAGGTTAATTTTCTAGTTTTGAAAAACTAGTTCTATGGGTAGGTAAGATTAACATAGGAAACTGGGTCAAGGGCTTATAGGAACCCTCTGAACTATTTTTTTCCAGTTCTTTTGTAAGTAACATCTCAAAACAAATATACATTCCCCTGATTAATGAGGTTGAGCATAATTTCAAATGCTTATTTGTACAGCTTTTTAAATATAGACACTTAAGTCATTCCCTTTTTTTTCTTTTTCTTGAACTTACTGATACATACTAATTTAATATATATTCATGGTACTAATACATTGTCAGTTTTATATGTTGTAAATATATATTCTGTTGATTTTTATTTTGGGATTGCTTCTTAGTGATTGGAATTTTTTAAATATGGTCAAATTTATTAAAATATTCAGAAGAGTTGGACTTCATGAAGAAGTTACAGGAATACCTTAACCAACTAACTTTGCTTTTTTTTTTTTTTTTTTTTTTTTACTTTATACACAAGAGAGTGACACATAAAATATTTAGATCTAAATAAGTTTAAAAAGAGATCTTAATAAAAGATCTCTTTTTTAAGAGATCTTTAAAAAGTTCTAAGTAATAAAAATGTCAGTAAAAATGGCAACATTTCCAGCCAAGATGGAGGTAGATACACCTTGCTTCCTTGCACAACCAAAAGAATGACAACAAATTGAGAAACAAAACCCCAGAACTGCCAGAAAATTGAACTGTATTGAAGTCTGACAACCAAGGAGTTAAAGAAGAAACCTTCATCCAGACTGGTAGGAGGGGTGGAGACAGGCAGCTGAGACAGAGAGGACTTACAGCAAGGCTGTGGCTGGTGGATGGGGCGGTCCCACATTTGCGTGTGGATAAACCAGGAGGAACAACTGGGGAGCAAGACAGACTGTGCAACCCAGGGTGCCAGTGCGGGAAAAGAAAGCCTCAAAACCTCTGGCTGTAAGAACTTGTGGGGGTTGCAGTGGCAGAAGAAACTCCCAGCCTCACAGGAGAGTTTGTTGGAGAGACCTATGGAGTATCCTAGAATGTACACAAAACCCCCCACCCAGGAATCAACACCAGAAGGGCCCAGTTTGCTTGTGGGTAGCGGGGGAAGTGACTGAAAGCCAGCCAATAGCTAAGCCAGCAGCACTGTTCCCTCGCTGACCTCTCCCCAACATACCAAGCCATAATGCAAAAACGTGAGTTGCCCCACCCTGATGAATACCTAAGGCTCTGCCTCTTACAACGTAACAAGAGTGCCAAGAAAAAAGAAGTATGGCCCAAATGAAAGCACAGATCAAAACTGCAGAAAAACAACTAAGCAATGAAGAGATAGCCAACGTATCAGATGCACAGTTCAAACACTGGTAATCAGGATGCTCACAGAAATAATTGAGTACGGACACAAAACAGAGGAAGAAGTGAAGGCTATGCAAAGTGAAATAAAGGAAAATAAAGAGGGAACCAACAGTGAAGGGAAGGAAATTAACACTCAAATCAACAACTTGAAGCAGAAGGAAGAGATAAACATTCAACCAGAACAGAATGAAGAAATAAGAATTCAAAAAAAATGAGGAAAGGCATAGGAACCTCTGAGATAACTCTATCCAAATATTCCAACATTTGAATCATGAGA